GTCCTATTCTCTCATCCCTTACAGGAGTTCCCCCTTCATTGGAGCATTTTCTAGCAAAGCTGTTTAATTGCCTGCCTTATTTTCAGCTCTCATTTGACAGCAGACATGTTGGAGAGATTTTTTTCTTCCTCCTATCAGTGCCTGGGGCTTAGAAGGTATTTGATAAAAGATTGTAAGGTGGAGGGGAGTTGCAGCTGGGTGGATTAGTGGGCAAGGGATGAATACATTCTGACCTAGCTAGATGACTCCCTCCCTGCCCCTCCCTCAGGGCAGGCCACTTCCTTGCTGTGTTGTTTGTTGTGAAGGTGTTGTGGATTGTGTCTTCTTTGTTTTAGTTTTCAAGGAAGGAAGGAAAATTAAATGTTGGAAACCAGGTGTTTTGCACAAATTCCTACCAGGAAAGAAATAACTCTTGTGCTTTTTCCCAGACATCCGAGTCACTTCTCTGATCCTCCATACGTGCTTGGCAGGCTCCGTCCATTTTGTTGGAATGTGAACTTATGGTTTTAGAAAGTTAGGTCTTTCAAAACAGATGCTCAGACCACAAAGTCACTGGAAATGAGCATGGTTGCAATATGCCCCATTTTACACCAATTAAGCAGAGTGCCAGGCTCTGCACTCTGGCCAACGTGGGGCCTAGGGGACTATCTGCTGTCCCGGGGTCTCAGCCCATCAGCTCTATAGCTTTACATAATCATTCCAGTAACTTTTAAATATTAGAAATCATGTATTAAACTAGAGATTTCATGTTGAATAAGTCAGGTTCTTACCTTCTGCATGAAATCTTTTCACAGTTACTCTGAGAAAGTACATAGTTAAAACCTTGAAGACTGTCCCCATCTAAGAAAGTAGTAGTAATTATCATGTCATTTCTGAGTGTTATCTTTTGTTTATGACCGTGTAATAGATTCAGATAAGTTAATTTATGCCTGGCAAGTAGTAAGTACTGGATAAACCTGGATAAACATTAGCTCCCCCTTACAGGGCCTTATTTTAGTTATAAAGGCCCTTACTGACATTCAAGCTCCAGATCGACCCCTCAAGCCCCCGCCACTGAACTCTGGTCCTTGTACTTGCAAGGCAGGCATGGTACCTCTGAGCTAAATCCTGGGCCCACTGCCTCTCCCTTCTTGAAAGATGCTGTTTTTTTTAAAAAAATTTGATTTTATTTATACAATTTTTTTTGGGGGGGTACCGGGGATTGAACTCAGGTCCTTGTACTTGCAAGGCAGGCCACCGAACCACTGAGCTAAATCCCCGGCCCTATTTGTACAATTTAAATATACATACCAATCACATTCATCAAAGAATTTGTGCTTGTGCATGATATACCTTGATTCCTCTTTTTCTCCCAATCCCCTCCTCTTCCTTCAATGACCCCTTATTTACAAAAGCTTTGTTTCCATTTTTTCCCTTTTCCCTTCATTTCCCCTCCCCGCTTCAGTCTCCTTTTCCTCTTGTACAGTTTCTTCTATTTCATATTATCTGTTTCACATCTTTGTCCTTATTTACCCTTTCAATTTGTCACACCAGAGAAATAATGCAGCGTTTACATGTTTGTCTGATTTATTTCACTTAAGATTATACTCTCAAATTGTATCCATTTAGCTATAATGTCTCAAATTTATTTTTCTTTATGGCCGAGTAATACTCCATTGTATAGAAATAACCACATCTTTTTTAATCCATTCTTCTGTGGATGGGCATTTGGGTTGTTTCCAAGATTTAACTATTACAAAGTGTGCTGCTATAACCATGGGTATGCATATGTCATTGTGGTATGATGTTTTTAATTCTTTTTGGTAGATACCCAGCAGGAAAATAGCTGGGTCAAATGGGACCTCTAATCCTAATTTTCTGAGGAATCTCCATATTGATTTCCATAGTGGTTGCACCAGTCTACACTACCAACAGTGTAGCAGGATTCCTTTTTTTCCTACATCCTTGCTAGCATTTGTTGTTGGTTGATTTCTTGATATTAGCCATTCTTTAAGATGCTGCTTTTAGGGCCAGGGATTTAGTTCAGTGGTGCCACTGCCTACCTCGTAGGCGCAAGGTCTCAAGTTTGATCCCCAGTACCCCCCAAAAAGAACTAAGATGCTGTTTTTAAAAAACACATTTTCTTTGTTCATTAAAACTCAAATTAAACGTGGTGTGGTAGCGTACCTGTGACCACAGTATTCTGGGAGGCTGAGGAAGGAGGATTTCAAGTTCAAGCCCAGCTTGAGAAATTTAGAGACTCAATGAGACGCCATTCCAAAGTAAAATATAGCTTTAAAAAAGGGCAGGGATGTAGCTTATTTTGGAGGGCCTGGATTTAGTCCCCCGTACCACACAAAAAAGGGGGGGGGGATTAAAGTAATTATCCCCCACATCTGCTTATTGGGTTCTGTAGAATGAGAGACAGTGGTAGGTGAGGGCAAAAGAAACGAAGGGAAAGTTGTCACCCATGAGGCCTTGGTATGTTCTAGGGCATTTTTGCCACTTGTGGGCATCCCTGCATGTTGGCATGACTAGTTATGTGAGAAACCACAGTGACGGGTACGAGGGTTTCATTGTTTCAAGATACTTCTCAGTTTACATTGGGGCTTACCTGTTATACCGGTCATAGGTTGGAGAGATTGTAGTGGGAGATGCACTTACTTCCCCATCCAGCTGCAGCTTCTAGTTCAGCAGCCTGCTTTCCCCTTGTGATTTTGGGGCTGACAGGGACTGTATCGCTACTGCTGCTCCTGCCAACAGACTGGCATATTGCTCCCCTGGGGAAAGAGTCTATTGTGAATTGTGGTTTCCATTCAATGCCTGTCTCTTTTGTATGTCCTAACATTGCAGAGTTACAAGCCAAACCCTCCTAAGTGGAGGCCACAGGTGCTGCAGGCAAGGCTGTTCACATCTCAGTGCTCAGCAGACTGCTTTAGTGTGGTGTCTGTTTTGTACACAGCCCAGAGTGCTGGATGAGGCAGGAGAGGACACCTGGTGACAGTCACCTGACCAGCAGCTGGCTGCTAAGAGCAGTGTCAGGTTGGGCTGCGTTTTGCCTTGTGAATGAAATAACAACAGAATACTCAAGTGAAGTAGTAGGTCTTCCACTACTTCACTGTGGGGTAAGTCCTAATTCAATGTGGAAGAGCGCTTCAGACTTCTCACTCTGTACAAGGGAGCTCATTTCCATGCTAGTCAAAGGTGTTCTACACTAATCACTTGTATAAGACAGCCACTTGCTGTTGATGTGGCCACAGTGCACTCTTGAGAAAGAAATTGCCTGTGTGCTTTTAACCAGTCCCCTTCCACGTAGTTATTGATTTCTTCTTTTCATTTACTTACTTATTTGGAATCAATTTCTATAAAAAAAGACGCAGTATTTTTATTTAGCTACTCAGGTCAAAATACTAAATAGCCACCCTATAAAAATGTAGGAAAAATTTACCTTCAATCTCATAATGTATGTTTGGAAAGTACTTTGATACAGGTCACCCTTAATGCAAGACAAGTTCTGTCATGTCTTTCAGGAAATTGGAAGAGCTTTTTGAGGCAAATTTCTAAAGATAAGAAGGTATCATAGCCAGCAGGCGGTGGAGAGGTTGGTAGAACCTGAGATGAGGGACAATAGTATGGACCACAAGTTGATTAGCTGTTAGGGACAAGCTAGAAATGTAGAAAATTTAACCCTAAATACTAAAGTCATGGATTTCAAAATAAATATGTCTGTCTGTCTGTATGTATTGGTAGGACAGAATGATCCATTTAATTGAAAAAACTGAAGGGCCCTATTCTGCATCCCTTTGTGAGGCAGCTAAAGAGACCAGACCCCTACATCACTTAGTAGCCACTTGGGGTGCTCTTCACAGGCAGCACACAGATAGTTCCTAGCATCCCAACAAAAGCAATGCCCAGGGCTGTTGCAGCCACCAGCAGCACATTTTTTCTCAGCCAGGTCCAGATCATCTCCATGCAGCCCCTGGTGTGGATAGCATGCACACTAAAGTCAGTTCCACAGCTCTCAGTGACACAGACACAGCAGGAGTCAGGAAAGAACTTGGCTCTCTACTATGCTAGGGATGTTCTCCCAAATTCGTGTAGTTAGCATCCCACAAGCACTCACATTTTATCTTCAGCTTATTCAGAAATGCAGCTCTGTCATGGTTTTGTTTTTTTGTTCTGTTTTTTTGTAATTATGCACCTGCTGCTGCAAGTCCTTATTAAACTCTATCACCTTGCCTCTAAAAAATACCATCAGCAGTGGCTACAACCACCTGCCCTAGCATGACAAGAGACAGGAAGATAGATGGCAGAGGTGATAATGTGAAGTAGTTCTCCTTGCAGGCCCCACAGCAGCCCAAGAGGCCACCAGGAAGGGGATGTGCCCACTGCAATGGTGATCACAGGCAGCAAAGTGCCAGGAGCAGCCCTGTGGGTCCTGGTCCCACTGAGGACATAGGCTTGACCACCGTACACCTTGACCAGTCCCACTGCATAGCTGCCAAATGCTGGCCGAACAAACAGCAAGAACTTGACACATTTCATTCTTCCCTTCTCCCCCATGGCTGCTGGGCCCTACCCACAGAATAAGTTTGCTGACTCCTATAGCAGAAAAAGAATTTTCAGGTCTTGGCAGTCAAGAGGCATGGAAAACATTTGCTTTGAAAGAAGAAAACACACAGAAAGGAGTGAGGGCCTTCAAAGAATAAGACACCATAATGGAAATATTTTAAATAAGCTATCAATTGTTCAAGCTGTTATTCTTGACCTGACTTTCTATATATATTTATGGAGATTTACTTCATTGTAGAGTACATGTTACAGGAAACATCTTGGGACAAATGTCATGTGCTCTGACCAGAACTGAACAGTGTATTTTTCACTTCTAGAAGATAATTTGAGTTTTTTTCTTTCCAGGTGGAATTTTCTCAGATCAGTGTCCATTTCTGAAAAGTAGCATTAACATTGTGTGAAAACCACAAATGAACATTTTTCTCCCATTTATTTTCTCTTTCAGAGTGATGGTGTTCAAAATGAAGATGCTGGAAAATTTTAGTTCTTCATAGGAACTACAAAAATTGAAGGAAAAACATTTTCAAAAGGAGATTGTTGTGAAAATATGTTTACAACTAACTGATACTATACAGCTTTTTAAAAAATAATAAAATACTTTGAGAAGAATTTATGGTAAAAGGAAACTGGACTAACAATGAGGCCAAAGACTTTTCCTGCCACAACTTACTCTGGAAATAGCCGGCAGCGCCTACAGGAGATCCGTGAGGGGCTAAAGCAGCCCTCCAAGTCTTCAGTTCAGGGGCTGCCTGTGGGACCAAACAGTGAGGTTTCCCTGGATGCCAAAGTCCTGGGGAGCAAGGATGCCGCCAGGCAGCAGCAGATGAGAGCCACCCCAAAGTTTGGACCTTATCAGAAAGCACTCAGAGAAATCAGATATTCCTTGTTGCCATTTGCCAATGAATCAGGCACTTCTGCAGTTGCTGAAGTAAACAGGCAAATGCTACAGGAGTTGGTGAATGCAGGATGTGACCAGGTGGGTACAGACTTCCTCTGGCTTCTGCAGGGACAATTACTGTAGGTAGCCTGTGGGGAGTGTAGCAGGTCAGCCAAAACCCTTTGGCCGTACTCAAAAGCTTTGAATAGCTTGCTACTTACAGAAGTGTTTGTAGGTTAACCTAGGGGCTTTTTAATGCCTCATTAAACTCCCAAGAGTTTTGGGCTGCTTTTCCTTTTCATGCAGGACCCATAAGTGTCTGAAGTTGTGCCAGGTGCACTTTCTGTTCTCTCTCTGTCTCTGTCTCTGTGTTTGTCTTTCTTTGTCTCTCTGCAGGGGATGGAACCCAGGTTCTTGTGCGTATTAAGAATGCACGCTGCCATTGGGCTATACTCCTAACCCAGTTCAGAGAAAGCAGGGTGTGGGGGCACATGCCTATACAACTTCCAGGCCAGCTCCAACAACTTCGTGAGACTCTATCTCAAAATAAAAGAATATTGGGGTGTAGCTCAGTGCAAAGGCCCTGGGTTCAGTTGCTAGTATAGTACCTCCAAAAAGTAAAGAAAAACTAGAAAAGACTGAGAAATCATCAAAATGTGATGGTATACTCTAGAGTTAATACCAGTCATACATAAATACATAACTTCAGGCTATACTTTTGTGATCTCTTAGTATGCACACCTGAATAAAACCCATGTTTGAAAGGTGGAACTGTTGCCCAAAAGGTGTAAAAGTAGTTGGTAAGATGTAAATAGCAATATTGTCATTATTCTATGAAAGGGATTAGGAAAGCCAGTGCTTTATTTTCATCTGTCATCTTACAAACCATAGTTGTGTGAAATGGAAATAAGCAGAGTATTTTTGCTGACTTGGCAAAGGAGATTTCATAATCAAATCACACCAAGATGGCTTGAGCACTTTTGGTAAAAATAACCTAATTACCTGCCCCTGGCATCACAGTCATAGAGAAAAGGTAAAAATGTCATCTCACCATCTGGTGTTTCCAAAGACAATCTCATTTTTCTAGTAGTTTATTACCATAGAATTGAACAAGAGAATTAGCTGGGCATGGTGGCGCACACCTATGATCCCATCACGTGGGTGGCTGAGGCAGGAGGATCGATGGGGAGTTTGAAACTAGCCTGGGCTGCATAGTTCAAGGGCAGCCTGAACTACATAGTGAGACCTTGTCTTAAAATGAGAACGAACTGATGCTTCTCGGATGATATGTCTGTGAGACAGACCCCGGTGTTTTGTAGAGCCTTCCTGACACTTGGGGAAATGCCGGGATTAACTTGTGTCTAGCAAGCATTGTTCTGTAAAGCCTCCTTTGTAAAGCACAGGATTGTGAACAATGTCATGTGGAGTGTTTCAGCAGTGGAAACTGACAAGAAAGGCACAACCTTGCTCATTGTGGAAGTATGAAATTATATAGGATGCCAAGTGCTATCCCCAGACAGAATAGAATGTTTTTGAAAGTGGAGAGGGAGTAATCCTGAGGAAACCCCAGAGGAAGATTGTAGAGGGGATTTTAGGCCAACTGCAAAGCTTAAAATCTGTAAATCTGTTGCAAACAAAAGATGCAATCAGCCCTGGTGTTCTTTGCAATTGTTTTACAGCTGTGAGAAAAAGAAACAAGTCAAGCAAATAATCCACAGTACAGGTGGGATCTTATTAGGGTGAAATCCATTAGCGGTAATTACAGTGCGAGAAAAATGAAGCTAGTGCTGTTTCTAAAACCGTAAAATACTAGTACAGGAACATTAAGGATCATGATACCAATGAAGTTCCATCAACATTTAATTATGTTATCAGAGCTCTATTTACCATATTTAATGCTCACCAAATAATGCAGTTATTTGGTGTTATACTTTATAACGTAAAGCAGCTGTGTCCCCCTCCTTGCCCTCCAGCTCAGAGAGACTGCACTTGCTTTCAGATACTTTCGGTAGGAAAGTCATTATGTGAACCTGCTTAATATGAGGAAAAGATGAGCATTGCTTCAGGACTTGTGCATGTCTGTTGGATAAAGCAGATCATTAGAATTCCAGTATAATAGGTAAAGAGAATTCCCATTGTTGCAGCTTTCCCCCTTGGTCGCCTATTTCAGATGCAGTTTTGTTCTCCTGTATTTTGAGTTTAAGTGCTATCTTTAAACCCCAGTATTCATCAGAGTGGCTGTGATTGTGCTGTTTTCTCAAATCTTAGGGTACCAAATTGTGGCACATGCTTTCATGAGCAATCTCTTATTGCATGTGCACACACATATACATGTTGCCATTTTATGTGGACTAAAATTTATTGATAATATTTACTTGAGTGTTTGTACATGATTGTTTGGTAGTAGGGATTGACAATAGCCTTCATCTTGAGCTGTTGCATCCTAGTCCTACCTTTTTTTTTTGTAAAGGCAGGGTCTTGCCAAATTGTTTAAGCTAGGTTTGAATTTTCAGTGTCCTACCTCAGCCTCTCAGAGTGCTGTAATTATAGGCATGCGCCACCAGGCCTAACTTTAACTTTTTATTATAGTAAAATTTACATTTAAAAAGTGCACAATTCGTGAGCTTAAAAGCCTGGTGAATTTTTACATATTAAGTACACCCGTATAATTAACATGGATGGGTATATTTCTAATTAAAACATCTGAACTGACAATTGCTAGAAAAAAGTAAAAGACTTTAGGATAAATGTTTTCTGGGTAATGATGTAATGTATATGTCAAATAATATACAGTGTTCGTAAATCTTTTGAACATAAATTAGTGAAAATTTAAGAAAATTCTACAGGTTTAAAAAAAAAAGCTAAGTCAACAGGCTAGTGTTCCTTAAACAAGGAGCTGTTCTTTCAATATACAGATTCAAGGAATTAGAAAAATAAGATGTTTCTGCTTATGAGTGTCATGTTTTGTAGCCTTGGACACATTTTATTGGTATAAATAATCATTTTAATTTAACTTTTACTTTATTCTCTTATAATATTTAGTTCTGTTTTTTCTTTTAATCTTTATGGTTTCAAACCACCATATTTCCAGGCTTTCCTCTTCAAAGTTTTAAAAAACGCACTGGATTTGCAGTGATGTTCACATGCATACTGTTTGTTCAGAAGAAGTATTCAGAGACTTGCGTTCTCCCGCTGAGTTAAAGGATGAACCACAGCACATCTTCAAGACTCGGGTGGAGGGGTGTAGTAGTGCTTAGGGTCCTGGGAGAATGAAGGTCCAGTTCAGCCCTGCCTGGCACAGTGCAGGGATATTAGATCCCTTAGGATAAAAGCATTTTATCTGGTTATCTCCTCCAGGAAGACCTGGGTGAAAAATCTTTTCAAGTGAAATGCTTCTGCCTCTCCAAGGGTCACTGTGTGTGTGTGTGTGTGTGTGTGTGTGTGTGTGTGTGTGTGTGCTCTCTCGTGTGTTCTCCCCTGGGACCTCTATCCTGGCCTTGGTGGAGCTCCCATCCATCTGCTGGGGCCACCCAGCCTGTGGATAAGTGTCCATGCTTTCCCTGCAGGATTTCTGTGGCTGCTGTGATTTTCCTAATCCTTCCCTGATCCAGTTCTTCCCCACTTTATTATATGTGTTTAAGTGACTTAAATTTTTAATGGAATGAGGGCTAGAAGAATGTAAACAGACTGATTGTACTGCATCAAATTCTGTAGAGGGAAAATGGCAGTGGCCAGGATGTGTTCAGAGGCTGATTCTTAAGAACAATGGTCAGAACACCACCTGGGACCTCTATCCTGGCCTTGGTGGAGCTCCCATCCATCTGCTGGGGCCACCCAGCCTGTGGATAAGTGTCCATGCTTTCCCTGCAGGATTTCTGTGGCTGCTGTGATTTTCCTAATCCTTCCCTGATCCAGTTCTTCCCCACTTTATTATATGTGTTTAAGTGACTTAAATTTTTAATGGAATGAGGGCTAGAAGAATGTAAACAGACTGATTGTACTGCATCAAATTCTGTAGAGGGAAAATGGCAGTGGCCAGGATGTGTTCAGAGGCTGATTCTTAAGAACAATGGTCAGAACACCAAGGGAATCAGGGGTGAACTGGTTAATGAGCGAAGGAGGGCAGTTCTTGGCATTTTTAAGCTAAAAATTTAATTTTGAGTCAGGGTCTCACTGGCTGGGCTTGATCTTGCAATCCTCCTGCCTCAGACTTCTAAAGTTCTGGGACAATAGGCATGCGTCCTACATCTGGGTCCTAGTTACATTTCTGGAGCAGTTTGTTTCTAACTTCTAGGTGCTTGTGCACAAGGCCTTATGTTGGCAAGTTGCTGTGTTTTGTATTCTTGCCCTGCTTTCTCTCTTTAGAGGGAAAGACCTGGGTCTAGGAGTCTGTGTGTGCAGAAGCCTCCCAGCTGCCTGTCTGGGGTATGAGCTCAGTTAATATTAGCTGCAGGGAGATGATTCCATGCGCTGGTCCAGGCAGAGGAGCAGTCCCCTGCACTATACCTAGAACAGACCCCACACCCAAAGGCAGCTCTTCCTGATGGTGCACATATGGTCTGGTTCTAATGATACACACGTCTCTTCAAGATACCTGTAGAGAAAGACCCAGAAACATTTGTCTTGATGACAGGATCCTACCTCAGGGTTGTGTCACTGAAATAAAGATACTTTGCAATGAAAAAGAGAAAGGAATTTAGATAACTTACACATTTCTTCTTCCCTTCCTCTAGAAAGGGAACTATTTTTCAGTGTGCCTGAACACTTCTACTGTGCTGAAATACTAATGGAAGAGGGAAGAGAGAAGCACTTCAGTTTAGGAATGTCAGTAATGTCACAGGAAATTGGAGCACAATGGTCTTTGGGTGTAGTGGTTGCTTGCCCTTGCCCTCCCTTTTAGTGGCATTCAAATCAAATGTGGCCCTGTCAGAAAAGCTGCATACTTTTTAAAGTAGGCTGTAAAATGTCTTCAGGAACAGGGATGTAGTTTGGTTGGTAAGCGCTTACCTAGCATGTGTGAGACCTTGGGTTCCATCTCCGGTACTGCCAACAAAAATAAACAAATATTTAAAAAAAAAATAAAATTACTTTGATATGAA